CAAACCATTCTATGATTCTATGATACCCATGATTTGGTCTGATTTTAATTTCCCAGGAAATTTTGCCAGATTGCCAAAAATAAACGATGGTGAGTATCTTAAAACTGGGTCCACAGTAAAGACTGTGAAAGGCTTAAACAGAAAATGGAGTAAAATGTAAAATGTGGTAAAAGTAAAGTGGAGGAGAATCATCATTGCCCTGGTAACTTCCTGACTTTGTGCAGGGTCGTTATGATAAGTATATGATTAGAGCCTACTTTGAGAAAGAATCTGACCTCACTCTTGTCACAGGGCAGGTGAGCAAGAAGGCAAAGTACCCTCATATAAGCATGTTTAATTCACACGTGCCCTGAAAGGTAAATAACTGATAGAAGTCTAAATCTTTTTTTCAGTGTAGATGGTGTGTGTGTGTGTGTTTGTTTAAAAAAACCAAACTGTCACATGATGAGCACTGCAATACTCAATGCAGTATGTCCAAACTGAAGTAAAAAGTCAAGACTAGCATTACTTTACACAGTGTGCAGCTCTCTGAAAACACAGAGGCATTTATATAGCAATATGAGGAAGCCTGCATCAGTTGGACTTTATCTGGGGAAAATGTAAGTGACCAGAATCAAAAGCCTCTCAGCACTAATTCTTGCAGCCAGCCCTGTATGCTCAGTTTATTTTGGAGATTTTTTTGTGAAAGTTAATTGAATTGGTCTTTCAGGAGACAGAAGTAGCGCACAAGATGCACATTCTGCTGAGTAACAGTTATGCAGCTTTTTCTTGTAAATGGAGACTGTTATTTCATGATGCTTTCTGTTCTTACGAATCCTGTGTTTGAAACTGGCAAAAAACCACAGAATTTCATCCATGATGAGATTTCACTTCTGGTCTTGGCCCTTCACTTCTATTCTCAGTATATACAAGGTCATCCAAGCTCTCCCTCATCTCTGCTGGTTCATTTCTCTGTGGCCAGCTCTGCTTGTGGTAGTGCATACACTACATATAAGGTAAGGCTGGTGAGGGGAAATTTCAATTTATGGGAACATATGCTTTGATTGCAGTAGGGCAGTATTCATGCTGCATAACAAGAAGGTATACTGATCAGCAGAGAGCTGCTTGCTCTCTTTCTTTGCTATGGAATTTCCCTCCAACTCTCCTCATGCCCCTTAGCCTCTCCTCATCAAACATGTTCCTCTCTTCCACTGCCTGGTTTCTTTGTGCCTCATCTGTTTGCATATACACACAAAGGCCAAACCCTAAACACCTTGGACACCTCATTCCTTGAAATACCTGCTCCTGTCACTTAAAGAGGAAGCAGCAAATGTCCTTGCTTAGCCCAGGAGTGAGTTTGTCAGCAGATGAGGACAAAAAAAAAAAGAAATGTTAATCTTGGGTCCCTCTGTTGAACGTGTCCCAACAACCATCCACCTGTTGCTGAGCAAAGAGCTGTAGAAAGCTCTTTGCTATGCAAAGAGCATAGAAAGAACATACTTTAGCCTAACAGTAGCTTGGTACATCCCTGTTTATCATCTCCAATAGGAGCGCCTTTTTAATCAAAATCAGAAGTTCTGAATATTTTTTACTTTGGGGTCCAGAGTCTTTCTTGTAAAGGGAAATAACACCAGCTCCTCTTAAAGAAAAAAGTCACAAAATAACTTTTTAATACACCCACTTCTCTGCCCGTAGTAGCACTTCGAAACCTCAGTATGATGTTCCTCATGCTAGAGACAAACTAGACTTACCTTCTGGGAAACCTAAGAAGGAATCAGGCCAGCCTAGTGAAGGTGGCAGAGATTAAAGGTCAGCTTTTACAATCAGCTTAAGTAGATCACAGTGTGAGGTTTTACATTCTGCTTTAAGCCGGGCCCTGCACTCTTGCATCCCTTTTCCATCAGCAGCAGTGATCACATGGCAAAGCGATAGATCAGCCAGCAGATCTAGATGAAAGCAACCTCTAAAAAAACCCTCACCAACCAAACAAACCAAGCCCACCCCCATGCTAGTTTCTCCCCAGTGAAATCACTTAAGTAGTGTGCTCCCCAAACAGCCACGTGATCGCTGGTGCCACCACAGCGTGGGAAAGCAGGATACAGACACAGGCAGAATGATGCATTTTGGGGGCAGCCTGGATAGATTGACTTAGCTGCAAAAGACCACATTTAGAGTGTGGAATCTGGACAGGAAGAAGGCAGTCTCTCCATTTGGTGAGAAAAAAGTAGTTTTCTTTGATCCTTCCAGTCTGGTAGCTGCAAACTTTTAAGCACAACTAACACCGCCTGTTGCTAGAGGGCTGCCACAATTAGGTGTTTAGTACGCACACATAGACCGCTTGTGGATTCAGATGGATCAGTGACAGTATTTTAAAAAACTAAATGTTTAATGCTGTGTTGTTAGGATTTACAAATTTTGGATAGTCTTCAATTTTCTAGTCCTTATGATTAATTAATGATTGATATTAGTTATGAAAGAGAATTTATGGAGAAGTCAATGGGCATTGATATCAGAACAACAGTATGATTGATGTGCTAATTGTATAGATTTTCTTCCCCAAGATTCTGTTTATTGTACACAAATTAACATGTACACTAGCTATGACAGCAAATCAAATAATGTATTTACAATAAGAACATCAGAGGTACTGTTTTACAAGTGCAAATACATCCTAAGGCCATCCCATGCTTTCTTGACCTCTTATACATCAATGGCAGATGTGTAGGAGAATGGGACCAGTGACAAAATTGTGATTAGCATTGTCATGTGAAGCAGCAATTGCATACTCACAAGGAAAGGCTGTTTGTTTCAGTTTAAGTAGTCAAGCTGTCTTAAGTTTTCACTTCTTCAAAGAGGTATTTTTTTCTTATTGTTCTTTCAGGCATGCAGGCAGTCTTTATCCTCCTGCCTGAGCCTTCCCTTCTTTTTCAGAAGAGTACATTTGTACTGAAGCAGTACCTTCCACTTGAGCTTTAGCAATGCTGCTTAATTCATCCAGGAGAGGGTTCTACTTTAATTACTCCTTAGCGTCAGTTTCATACACTTTTCATTGCACCTATCTTGGTTTACCACTGATCAAAGAAGTCCCTAGATGCCACAGTCAATAAAAAAGTTACCACATTCACCCATAGTCCATAAATAATCCACAGGCATAGGAATTTCCTTTCAGTTCCCTTGTTTCCTGTCTTTTGCATAGCAACAATAAGGCCATGATTTAGAGCTTATATGGAGAAAGCCTAAGGATAGTTGGAGTGCTATACTGATGCTGCCACAGAATTGTCAGATGTGGAAGAAAATGAGAAAGCTCTTGATGGTTCATTCAAGTAGACAAGCAAAAGTCATTTACGGGTAGACAGAGTCTTCAAAATAAAGTATTTTTTGAGCCAGGATAGTTCAAGTAAGTGAAGGAAGTGACTAGTAAGTTTGTACTGGAATTGTCTGCATGAATGATACTGCAAGATCGAGTTCATGCAGGGAGGAGGTGTGTGAGTTTCTGTGGAACTGTGCCTTGTTTTACACTTTGATCTCAAAAATCACATTATATATAGTTACTGTAACAGAGTTGTTAAGAATATGAGGATAATGCTAACATTATTAATATGTTTATTAGTTTCAGAAATGATACTTGGTTTGGAAGCCAGTCTGCACAGGAAAATAATGTATCTTAACTAGTTCTCGTGGTCTCTGTGCTACAACAGCATACAGTGAAAGCAAGAGGTGTAGGAGTATATGGCTCTTATGTCTAGATGCTTATTTCCTTAAAAGCCTGTCAAGATGAAGTACCTGTATGTCACTATTCCTGTCTCTAGGTAAGCTGTTAAAAATCTTACAGCCTAATTGCTAGATAAAGTTTCCAAAATTATTTTACTGTGAGAAGGATGGTATCATTTGTTGATAAGTTGATGACTGAAGAATGGTGAGGGGGATGCCTCCTGCTGGAATCCTTTGATGAGCTATTTGCAGCCTAGTCAACAAGGATTCAGAGTGAAATTTTCTTTAACCTTTCTATCCCAACAAAGCAGGTTACCTCTCTCATAGAAATACTATGATATCCAACAGTCAGCTATTAAAATTCCTGCATAAAGTGTTATTTTACTAAACCTGCAAAGTTCTTCAAACGTGGCAGGAATGATCTTCATGGTTAGGAGATAGATCTTGCATCTGACCTTTTTCAAAGGTCTCCAAGGACACTGCGAAACAGCATCAATTAAACTTACTGTGAGAGCGAGACTGAGAAACCATCTGGGTCAGAAAGCCATCAAGTGAAAAAATGGCATTCCAGAAGTGTAAGACTGATCACCTTAGGCAAAGTAAGTTCCAACACCAACAAGTAGGTGATATTAATCCTTTATCTGCTTTTTTGCCATATTTTGGGGTAGGCCAGTAAGAAGGAAGTGCTATGCTATGCTATGCTAGTGTGGTGTCACCACCTGGTTTCTTTACTACAGTTTTATCCATAGATTCCATTAATTCCAGAAGGCAACAAGAACTAAGGAGCCCATGGTGGTCTCTACTTTCTTCTGATTTTGGAAGTCATTTCCAGAAGGTAGTAGATTTATTCTCATATTTAGTCTCTAATCCTAGTGTGTAAAAGTATGGTCATACCTGTGTGTATGAGTATTTATCTGAACCACACTGAAAGAAAGTTTCACAATTTCATGTGCTCTTTAATCAAAGTTGAGCATGATCAGAAATGCAAAGCTGTCAGCTTTAACCATGAAATTGTCAAATTTTGGCTGTCACCTGTTATTTCCAAAAAAAGAGGATGCAAAGAGGGAAGATTTTACCAGGCAGTATTTGAAATCTGAGCAGGAAGCTTTTGGGATTTTGAGGTTGTGGTTGAGGTATTAAATTACAGGATGATTTCCAGCATCAAAATACCTAATGTACTACAACTTAGGGATCTGTTAAAACTATTGTGATGAAGTTCAGAACAAAACTGATGGCTATCACTTTTTTCCCTGACCAAAAAAAAAATAATCTATGACTGAATTAATTTGGGGTTTTAATTCCAAGCAAGTTTAGTTGTTTGCCAAGTGATTTGATTTTGATGGAATTTCTCTATTTTTGGATCAGCTCAGTATTAGTAGTCTTTTTACTTTGGTGAGATTTACTCTTCAATGTGCTAGACAGTAGCTAAAAGATTTCTTATAACAAATGAAATTTGGAGAGCCTCAGAAGGCATGCATCGTGAGCTGTTATTTTAAATGATTGTGAAACTCCAACTAATCAACCTTTGATTCTTGCAGTGATGGTCTCAGAATAGTCTCAGGTATAAAAAAGAAATAGAGCAACACAAGACATGCATAGGCACAGG